TGTAAGTTACTGTCAGGAGTAAATTGCTTCCTGTATAGGTTCATTCATACCATGACAGTAATGCCACTTTTTTAAAGCCATTATTGAAATACAGAAGTAATGATCAACGCGAATGACAATACATTGTGTACTGGTGAGACCGGAGATCTTCCGGTAAATTAATGCATTCATTTTTAAATGGTCTTAAAAGGGTTCCATGTTTTGAAGGATCACTTTGATAATTAAACATTAGCTTGAGAGACTTGCACTGGAAGTGTAATGATTGCTCACCCCTGAGTTAAGCGTCAGGGTTAAGATGAAGAGTTGTCAAATGAAACAGTTTTTCTAGAAGTTCTGCGAATTTAAGTGATTTGGATTGTTCGACCCCATTAGAAAGAGAACTGCAGGCCTGACGGACGAGAGCTTGGTGAATTCCGAACCACCACATTGAACATCGGTGAGCATTCACAGTTCTTGATATACTGTAAGGCTCTGTGCCATTGAAGTTAAACGGCAAATAGTATACAGTCTCTTTGCTTTAAATTAGCATCTCTATTCAGTAACTTCTCAAACACACCAAGGTGTAAAAAAGATTTGAATCCTCTACTCATGCTGATGAGGCATTGTACCAGAATGGTCACTGACTTTAGTTTCATTACTGCTCTAAAGAAGTTGTTTTGTAGATGACTAATGTATCTTAATGCGCTTCGTTAGGTTCTGTTTCAACGGCTGATGGCTCTGCCTTAGTGAAGATAGGGAATACCACCATCATCTGTGGTATTAAAGCGGTAAGGCCAGCCACACTTCTATTACTGTACACCTGTGAGAACAATAACACAGCTGTCCATTAGTGTCCACCAAAATCTCTGTTGTTGCATGTTAGTGTTAAATACAAGTAGAGTGTTATTCTATAATATTCTTAGAGGTACACTGGTTTCCACTATTTTAAACAATGTTCATCAAGCTGACTATTCACTGATTAAAGATCCCTTGACACTTTTTGAAAAAGTATGGGGATTAACCCCAGGTGCACTGTCTAAATTCCCCTCTGGATTTGGCCTTTTTAATAGTTCCTGTTAATGTGATGGGTGAAGTGGTTAATCACTTTTCCCCTTGATCTGCTGTATTGTCAGGCCGCTGGTGCATACTGACTGCCAAGTCACCCAGGCAAGTATTTTAGTAAAGGGAATATTAATTATAGACTATTTCTCTTGGTGTGACAGAGGGATTGGAAAAGGAGAATTTGTAAGTAGGATCCATTTCACCCTGATTTTTGTCCCCACCCCTTTTCTGTTGCAGGAACTTACAGCTCCACCAGTAGATGCACCAAATAAAGGTTACATAGGTAGGGCGTATATCAAGAAAGTAATTTCTTATGGTGTATGGACATAGAATAACCTTCCTTCTGCAGGTGATGTGGCACAAGTAAATCTTACAGCACGCTTGTTTCGTGTTTGTTTCAGTTCCCAATGTCGATCTGCCGCCCCTCTGTTCCTCTCGGTTTCGCCCTGGTCCTCCAGGAGAACAAGCCCAGGCAGCCAGTCAGTTTATCGCAGATGTCATTGAAAGGTATTCAGCCCCAGAGCAGCATTTATACCAAAGTTACCCCGTCCTTGTTCGGCATAGCAGCAGTCCAGTAGGTTTTCTGGATCACTTTTGAATGAAGAATGTATAATGCCATGGGAAAATGTCCCACTTACCCAGACCACTTGGTTAAATGTGAGTAATTTAGACCCTTAAGAATAAAGAAAACTGAAAGTCAGTCCACAGTTTTATATTTGCTTTAAGTAATCAGAAATAGTTAATTAAGGCTGATCTTTGCCTCTGTAGGATTAGGATGGACCACACCTGATCTATAGAAATCAGCTTGATGACACAGTCTCTTAAGACTTTTCCAGTTGTCTTGCACTGTTGAACTACTCAAAACTAAACTATTCTCCGTTTCTCAAGTTCTGTTGTCTGATCACACTTTATCTATATAAACATATTTTGGTTTCTTTATAGTTCACAGGTAATACGACGAGAAGACATTTGTATTGAGAAAGGAAAGGTGGGTTTTCTCTTGATCTTCAGCTATTAACAATGTTTTAAAAGTAATTACTTAAGACTTCTTCACACTTTTTTAAACCTCAGCTTATATTTATTATAATTTGCAGTGTATATATTTTTTTCTGTAATGTAATTTGCAGCTTTCTGTATTTTAGCTCTGCTGGGTCCTGTACTGTGACATTATGTGTCTTGACTATGATGGCAATATTCTGGATGCCTGTATTATAGCCCTGATAGCAGCTCTTAAAAATGGTATGTATAACAGTTATTTTAATGAAAAACTTAAAGCAGTTATTTAAAATTATTGATGAGAGCATATTTACAAAGCAAAGGAAACAGGGCTAATGTAGTTGCATATAAAATGCTATTACCAAACAATTATAACAGCCCTTTAACACTTCTTCAGATGACAATGTATGCATCTAGCTTGTGTTGGAATTACCTGCTTTATAATATCTTACAACCTTTTGATAGTATTTAAATACAATATTATGCACCTATATTATAAGCTGTTTTTTAAGAAAACAGTTGTAGATTTTTTGGATTAAGGGAATAATTGAAGTACTTAAAAGGATACATAAACTATATTCAAAGTTTTAGAACTTAAACTAATTCTGAATATTTTAATAACTACATTTGTATATGTAATCTGCAAAAATAAATGCTCAGTTTCTTAATTTCTGAATTTGATACCTGTTTTGTCTCCAAGTTCAATTACCAGAAGTCAACATAAACACAGAAACAGAGCTCGCAGAAGTAAATATGAAACAGAAGAAACATTTAAACATTACTAAACACCCAGTTGGATCTTCATTTGCTGTATTTGATGAGTAAGTTACTAAGTCAAGTAGCATAACTTCTTAAGTTTTGTGGGAGATAATAGTTTTACTTTTTTGCATAATTATATGTCCACGTAGTATTCAGTGTGATGAATGACTTAATCAAACATGCACACATGGTGGCACCAGAGTAACTGAAGACTCCTGAACTGAGGCTGATTAATAATGGGGAAGTAAATTGGGTTTATGTGGTTATTTAACCAAAGTTGGCAAAAATGAGAAATACTGAGAATAAATCCTTGGGAGTTAATAATGCAACCATTTTGTTGGGAAACTCTTTTACTCATCTATTTATTTTTTAAAAAAGAGTATCTGTTTCTTACCTGAGGTTAAAATTGGTTGCTCAATACTGACTGAAAGATTAGTATAGAATTTAAAAATAAAACTGTTGGTCATATTGCAGACAATAGTTACAGGCATGTTTTCAGTTGGGCAAAATCAGCAGTTAGCTGACTGCCCCCCTCTTCTGGTGTTAGCACCATTATCATTGTAGATCCGACAGCTGAAGAGGAGGAGTTGTCAACAGGCATGATCACAGTCGTTACAGATGAGAATGAAAAGCTCTGTGCAGTCCACAAACCAGGTAAGTACACAATGAAGAAATTACCTCCGTACGGCGCTGTAGGTTTTCAGTACTTTGCGCAGTTATAACTATCAGACACTAGATTTAGTTCACTTGAAAAATCAATACTACCCATTCTTTGATAACTGCACTTGTTACTATCTCCAACATTCCTAATAGCCAGTAATAGGTGACTGTGCAGCTTCATGCTGTCCTGACATTTCATTCACAAATCTCAATCTGGATAGTACAGGTCTTACGTCCCTTCAGGTATTGTTGTGAACTGTAAAGCCTGCTTCCACACAGTTTGCACATAGGTATTAATGAAGTTGCATGTGAAACAATAGCACTTGATGAAATGCCCTGTCGTTCCACATTTATCCCCACCTTTCAAGGCGGAACTGCGTTATCAGGGGAAAAACTTCAAGACTGCATCAGTCGAGCCATAACAAGAAACCGAGAAGTGAGCAAGCTGATTAACGAAGTGATGCAAAGTGCGAAGCTCAAGTAAAGAAATGAATTCATTCTGATTTTTTTTTCTACAAGGTGTATTTTCATGTTAATATTATTTTTTACCACAATAAAACAGCTGGAAAAGAGCTTTTATAAAATTCTGCATAATTGATCAGAAGTGTCTCTGCACTTGTTTATATTACACACTCCAGATGACCACAACACTCACAATAGTAGGCTTAAAAAGATTAACAAAATGTGTGCACATAATGATGTTCTTCCGACGAAGAGGCAGCCACTTCCAAGCCCTATGAGTGAACTAAAAAAAGTCCCTTGAACAAAGTCCCATTTTTATGTTTCAAGAGGAAAAATAGATGCCTTACAGTCCGAGACAAAACGACAACTGTCTTCTTTGTAAAAATGTCACAATTTCATTAATATAAATATCCCTTCAGGGGTTCTTGGCAAATAAATTGAAAGTATTATCCCTTCAGGCCTTTTTCTTGAATGACCTTATTAAAATCATCAATGAAGGAAGTACACGGTGCAGATCATTAAGCCTCGAGGGTAATGTTCTTTCACAGCAAATTGAAGGCTACTAAAAAATCCGTTGTAATCTTCTGACATCATGATGATTTGCTAATACAGATGCGCAACTTCCTGAGATCGTGCTGTACAGCAGTGTCTTTCAAAACCCTTGCATGATTAAAAAAAAAACCCCAAGACGCGTGCAGCAAGGAAAGCGTTATTTTCCTGGCAGGGCCCGTCATGATTTTGGCCGAGTTTGCCCGCTGCGTTTCCTTTTACTTTTTGGTTGGCTGTCTGAATGTTGTTGAAGGTGTGCTGCCTGTGTTGCTGCCGCCATAGCCATTTGTTGGCGCATTTGGTGCTGCAAGAATCGCAACTGAATATGAAGAGAAAAAGAAGAAGAAAAAGGATCGTGTCATGGTGACGTCTGTAGGAGAACAGGCTTCTCGGTGCAGGACAAATCCAAGCATGATTGCAAATGAATGGATTAGTAAGTACGCTCAGGTGAGGCTCATAACAAACAAAGCAGTTAAATAGGTGTGTGGAGAAAAGATATCCGCACTCTCAGACAGTGAACACAGTCAAGCAGCACCAGTGGCACAGAAATCTGCAAAGAGTACCTAAGCGGGGTTTTGAAGTTCCGCTGTGACGAGTATTTTTTCCATTTCTAATGCTTCTTTGCCTGTACTTTTGGGGTGCAGAGATGGCAGTAAGTCAGCAACTTCAACCAGCATTTGCATTATGTTTGGCAGGGGAGGGGAGCTTTTGACCTTTGTTACGGGTTTAATTGCAGCTTAGAAGAGAAAATAAGCTAACATAAACAGAGAGATCATGCATGTAAAAGAAATGGCTTAACATGTTCTGGCAAAAACACAGCTTGATTGTAAATGTACTTGATTCTAAAACGCTAAACAGTGTTTTGTTGTTTTCCCAATGCCAATGATGTAAACCAACTTTGCAACATAACTGATCATTAGTTTCTTCTGAAGCAAATAATTGGATGGGAATTTACTTATGAAATTAAAGGAAAGGGGAAAAGAAGTTGTCAGTATGTTAAGATGTGCCACAAGCACTCCTTGAATGCTGGTTAAAAAAAAAACAACAACAAAGAAACGATGGCATGGCTTGAATGTTAGGGAAATTCAGTGCTCCAATTTGATATCAGCCTTCCTGATGTTTTCCCCAAACATTTTTTTGTCCCAGAACTTTATAAAAACAAAACATGGGTGGCACCTAGTTTTCATTTTGGAACTCTGATTACATTTTTGGCCCCGGGGACTGTCCCTCGCCTGTTTGGAGCCTAGAATTTTATAAGACTGGATGAAATCGATAGCGAAGTTGCTGGATTACTTGTATCTGTTGCTGGTGGTGCTGCTGCTGCTGTAACGCGTGCTGCTGCTGTTTCAAGGCAGAGGAGAGCTGGAGCCTCTGCTGGGGGAGGCTTTGCCCTGGTCTGTTCATGGCAGAGCCCAGCTGAGACAGAACTACGAGTGGGGAAGAGGGTCATGAGGCAGGTAAGGGACACAGCAGGGAGGAACAAGGAGAGTTTTGGGGGGTATCCGGAGCATGGGAGGAGGGGTGGGGGTGGGTAACAAATCAAAACACAAGGAGAGTGTTGTAGAAAGGGGGAGGTCAGTAACGTTCACCTACTGTAAATGTTAAAAAAAAAATCCACATAACTATTTTTTCTGTTAATATCTAATCACATTAGTAAAGAAAACTATAGAACCATGAAGTGCCAAGACAGGAGATCCCTACGATTCAGCACTGCATGATAAGAAGAATTTTTTTTTTTTTCAGTTGGGGTACCACAATGGTTATACCATGTTTTAGGGAGAATACTCAAGTGATAAAGTGCCTCCTGTTTTTTTATGCATTGCTTGACGGTAATTCTTTTTAGCAACTTGTTTCTAGGCTGGATACCACCTGGACACTTGGCACTCCATGGCTGATGTCGGTTTCTCATGAAAAAGAAATGACAATGATTTTACACATGCACGTGATCTAGGATTTGCTGATCTGCGTACTGCCATAAACACACTGAGAAACTATGTGAGGGGGCACGGCGGCTGCTTGGATCAGGGTGTAGTGAGGAAAGGGTAGGGGAAGACCTCAGGTGTCACCGAGTATTTAAGGGATACTGAAAATGGACAATGACACAAGGGCTGTTTGTAATTTAAGAAGGCAGGTATTTGCAAACGCTCAGCCAGTAGAAGGATAGTGTATTGACTCATACCTGCTGCCTGTGGAGACATGAAGCCACTGACTCCTGCAAGGTTTATGACTGCAGTTTGCTGGCCAGTTAGACCTTGGTCCTGACTAGATGGTCCTTGATCAGTAGCCTGATGGGGGTAAAGAAATTAAATGTACAAATTAGACCTAATCATAAGTGTGGGTATTGCACTTTAAACTTTCTTGATCATTACTTGGAGAGATCCAAGTAGCCAGAAATACGTTGCGCAATGAAGCAACAAGATCTCATTACATCCAAGAATTACTGAGAAGTTGAGATCTTAATTCATTATTTCCAGAAAGAAGCCTCTGAATTGGCTTTGACAAAACAATTAGGTGGCTTCTTCCAGAGTGCCAAACCCTTTTTTTACAGTCTAAGTGTAACAATGTCTTTACATTATTGTTTAAATGATTCATAATATTATAATTCAAATATTATTTTGTTATTATTTTGTCAACTTTGATACTTCTGACATACCTCTTGAACACTTTTTTCAGCACAACAATATTTTTAAGAAAAAACACCAAAAAAATCTAGATCATTGGGAAATTAAAACAAAAATATGACGAAGATCCATAAACTGAAATATTTCCAAGAAAAACATATCATAATTATCGTTTGCATGCCAACCTCTGAGCTAACTTGAGTAAGTGGAAAGATTTTTGAGCTGATTGTGTTTGTATGGTGGAGATATAACAGATTACTTAATGATGCCCTTGTACATCAATCATTGGTAAAAAAAAAATGACTACTGTCAGAAACACTTATTTCTATGCTGGATCTATTTCGGTGCTGTTTCATAGAGAGCTCCGCTGCGGTGGAACGCAGCCTTACGAGAGGTTATCTGTGTCTGTGTGTAAAGGAAAGCCCACCTGTTCCCCGGGCTGCTGGGGGCTGGATGTGGCTGACTGGCTGGACTGCTGCTGAGGGGAGAACTGGGAGATCTGCTGCTGCTGCAGGGAATTAAAGATCAGTGGCCCTGCAGGGATCTGGGATTGGAAGAGCAAAAACGTTGAAAATGCAAGACGCACGCGTATCAGTTTCGTATATGTGCGTTTCTTATGGCAACTAAACTTGGCATTTTATACCACATATAAGCCAGGAATTCCAAACAAATAAGTCTGGGATCTTAAGCCAAGCATTTACTGTAGTTTTCTGCTCAGACGTTCACATAAGCTATTCACATTAATTTCCAGATCTCCACTTTAACGTTTTATAATTCTCCTCAAACACAAGAAGCAGAGAGCTCAAGCAAATATTTTTTTGCAACAATTACCCAGTATTCTAGGTCCCTGACCTGTAGTAGGCAGAGCAATAGCAATCACCAACTTAATGGTCCCTTAATGGTTTTCTTGTGAAGAACAAAAATATTGAATACAGCCCACCACACGAAACAAGTACACTGTGAGCTGTTTTCAGTCCAGCTTGGAACTGTTGCTGTATTTGAAGTCTCCTCTAACTCTGGTCTAAACTTGTGACAAAAGGAGACAGCAAACATATTTCTTAATTAATATATCTTACGATCATCAACATACATAGGAACAAGTAATAGGTTTATTCCATGCTGAAAAGAGAAGAAAGAAAAAACAACGTTTTTTCGTTGTGTTTTCTTTCTTCTCTTTTCAGCATGGAATAAACCTATTACTTGTTCCTGTGCAGCCTACGCATGCTGATGCAGCTACCCACCTGAACTATCATAATACATCAACTCATTAAGTGTTATAAACTTATCAATATGTGTGCAGACCAAACTGCACATCTGCATGAAAAGACATTAACTTTATGGAATAAAAGGAAATTAAATAAAGCAGTAGCAGCCTGTTAGAAAACCTAACTAGTTGTGGTCAACAGGTGGGCATATATTAGCGAGTTCTGAAACAGTAGCACTTGCTCTCTAACCTAAGGTAATTAAGCAATGCTTTGGTTTTGCTGCTTCTTATGTAGTTTTACTCCCTGCTGTTCATGTCCATCTGTTTGGTGAAGGTTGCAAAAACTGTTAGAAAAAAAATTAATTCTGCATCTTACCTGGAGAAGATTCAGGGGCCGGAGACCTGTGAAAATTAAATAAAAACCCAGTGGTCACTTATTTGGGAAAAAAAGGTAAATCACAACTGCAAAGCACTTCACCTTTGCTCTAGGCAACTGCACCTCTTTTGCTTCATAGAAAGCAAAAACAAATACAGAGCAAGTTGTGTAATTTATGAATTACACAATGAGTCAGTGTAATCAAAGGCTAATGCTGTCGTTATCTGTATACAGATATACGGATGTACTATTATTGAACATTGAATTGTTTCCACACTTCTGTTGGTCTTCCAGTCTGTGATAGACTGTTCACATTTAATATGGGCATAACTACTACTATACTATAGTAATAGCTATACTAATACTATAATACGTTCATGGCTTCATAGAATTAATATTCTAAGCTTGCTCAGAGTGAAGGCTGAGCTCCATGTCCCATATGTCTCTAGTTCTTTCCTGGGTCCCATCATTGAGTCTTCCTGACTCGCCTGCAGGCTTGCAGGGATGCCAGTGAAGGACATACAAGAACGGCTGCAAATGAAGGGAGGCCATTTGGCCCATGTAGCTTGTTTGGTAGTTAGATTTTAATTGATCCATGGATCTCATCCAGCCTTTCCTGGGTTGACTTTGTCGATGGCCTTGAGGATTTTGTATACTTCAATACAGGTCCCGCACAGTTGTTTGTGTTCAAAGGCTATAAAAAGCTTCAGCTCCTCAATGCTGCTCTTCCGATCGCAGCTAACTCCTTGCTGAAGTACTGGGGACCTTGCGATGTCAAATGACAAATTGCTCTGCAGGCGTTCACACCCGAGAGGCGTGTCTAAACCGCTCAATCTCTTCAGAGCAAGTACAGGAGCAGTCGCTGTTGAACCAAGGCTTAAAACAACCGGTGATTCCAAACCCATGGTATCAGAAGATAAGATTTCACATGGGTCATGATCGCGTCTTCCAGAATAGTCCCACCTGCTCAGTTGAAAGCTTAGGCCACAAGATAACGCTTAACCGTGCAGCAGGGAAGGTCTGCAGAAACGTGGCGCTTACCTGCTTGGGCTGCCGACTGCATGGCAGCTGGCAGAGCTCCTGGTACCAGCCCTCCTGGAGGCAGGATGCCGCTCAGGTTGATGCCAGCAGAAGTAATGGCGCCAGGGCTGCAGCCCAGCATGGAGTTGGAGCCACTCATCAACGTCTGAGGACCACTGTTCTCACACAGCCAGACGGGGTAGCAGAAAAAAAGAACCTGATCAGTGTGCTGTCGGCTGCATATGCAAGCGTGCATTGTGGCACGGAAGGTAAATCTGAGTTATTTGCTGCTTGATTAATCCAGAAGTGCTTAAACATACCAAAGATGTTTACCCGATAAAACACATTTAGCATGCAAAAGAACAAATATTTACGTTTGTTAACATTTACAAGACTAACTTTGAAATCGATTCCCATGTGATGAAGCATGCAAAGGCTTTTCTGTAACATTGCGAGGGTTATGATGCGTCATAGATTATTGTTTTTTAGTCCTGTTTATACAATTTCACATTTCAGCTTTTGCATCTGTAGGCAATCAAAAAAGCTATACAGATAACAAAAAATATATAGTTTTCAGCCCAATACACTGCCTACCTATGTTAAAAAGTTAGGAATCAATTTTGTTTTATAAACAATGGAAGGCGTTTTATCACGTGACCCTTCCTAAAAAAGGCTTCGAAGTAAATCAATTTCAAGATGTAAGAGAAAAAGGGGTCAAAACAGATGAATTCCTTTCGGAAGGGCAGAAGAGGAGAAGGAAGATCCTTACCACACCGAGCCGACGACATTAATGAAGTTGAGGCCGGCAGGGTTGGTCATCACTTGAGAGGTGGATGTGCCGCCCGTAGTTATGGACGTGACCATGGTGGACAGAGGAATGGTCATGACTGGCAAGGCCTGGCTCAGAGCCATCTGCTGCTGGGCAAAGGGGGCGAGCAGGGCTGGCTGGGGTGTCATAGCCGAGTCCTGGGGCGTGGGGGTTGCGGAGGGGGTGACAGTAGGGGTCGAGGTCTGGATGTCTGGAGGGTGTGGAGTAGAGCACGGGGTGTTGGTGGGGGTTGGTGTGGATGGTTTGGGAGTCCCTGATCCTAGAAGTTTAAAATAATATGAATAACAATAAGAATCATCATGCACATAGACTCAGAAAAAAACACTGAGGAGCTGTTGGTACAGTACAGTGGTTGTTTTTTTAGAAAGTTTGTTCGGTAGCTATTGGATTACTGTCACCAGAAGCCGTCACACACAGGAAGGGTGAGTAGTGAAATTTAGACGTCATTCTCGACATGAAGAACTGACCACAATCTCAGAAATAAAGCAGATTTGTCCATGGCAAGGAGGTTGCTATGCACATTTGCTGATATAATTCTTTTTCATGATTTGAAAAGCACTAGCAGTGTTGTTTTTGACATGGCAGAAAGCAGCTATCAGGTCACCTCGCAACATATAGTGGGCTGTGGAACCTCTGGAGCTCGTTAGGACTGTACTGAGGTAAGCGCTCCCGTTTCAAACGTTTCCTGTATCGATCAGGCCCAGAACTGCCTGTGTGGAACTCTAGATTCAGCGGGTTGTGAACTCACTCTGTGATGAGCCGACTGGAGAGAGGGCTGCGGGGGACAGCAGACTGGCTTGGTTCAGCTCCAGGGAGTGTTTCCGGGACAGAGACTGGGTCTTAGAGGGAGGGGGAGTCGGGGATTTGATGTGCCCGCTTGATGGCTGAGAGATGTAAGGGTTACCTTTGGAAGAGTCAGAAAACACACTTATTTTTCTATCCTCCCTGAAAACAAAGACATTTATCCTTGATTTCTTATTGCTCATAGATCACACTATATGATTCTAAACATGTTAAATGTTTTACCTGTATTATATAGCTAGGCAGTATACATAAATATATTGTAATATATAAAATATATTTTAATAAATAAAAGCACAATATAACATTTAAAATCCTACATAACCATTTTCTTAAATATGTTTCAGTTACACATAGACTGTGTGCTTATACTAAGGCAGCAAGAGTGCTTTTTTGTTGCATACGTTGTTTCAAACATTTTGAACTTGCAAAAAAAATGTCCAAAAAATAAAATACAGAACATCATCAACAAAATTTAAATCATTTTCCTAAGATGGTTTAGGCCTCCTAAGACTGCTGTAACTGAATTAGGCAATCATGTTTCAAGGCGCAAGTTGACCACACACTGGCTTCTGCAGTCTACAGGAAGTACAGCCTTGGAACTATATGCCAGCAGCCATATCACCTTGCAGCTCACAACTGGCAACCCACTGAAGCTCAGCAGGTGTGAGCCTGGTCAGTACCTGGATAGGAAAAAGGAAAAACTAGGAAAAACTAAGGTTGCTGCTGGAAGAGGTGTTAGTGGGGCCAGCGGGGGGTGCTCACCCTGCAGTCTATGTGGGTCCTAATGTCCCAGTATAGTGAAGGGGATTTAAAAGGCACCGTCCTTCGGATGAGACATAAAACCAAGGTCCTGACTCTCTGTGGTCATTAAAAATCCCAGGGTGGTTCTCGAAAAGAATAGGGGTGTAACCCCGGTGTCCTGGCCCTCTCCATCGGCCCTTATCAACCATGGCCTCCTAATAATCCCCATCTATGAATTGGCTTCATTACTCTGTTCTCTCCTCTCCAATGATAGCTGATGCGTGGTGAGCGTTCTGGCGCACTATGGCTGCCATCCAGGTGGATGCTACACATCCATTGGTGGTGGTGGAGGGGAGTCCCCGTTACCTGTAAAGCGCTTTGAGTGGAGTGTCCAGAAAAGTGCAATATAAGTGTAAGAAATCATTATTAATTATTATTATTACCTATGGTGTTACCTGAGGAGCTGCTGCCTGAACATGATGGCAGTTTGATGGGAGGGGGTCTGTGTTTCACGCCTTTTCCCAACACAGAGGACTGAACCAATGGAGAAATTCCATCAGCCTGCTGTAAAAAACAGACACATCAGCAATAAATTGCTAGAGGCTGTACACCACCTGGAAGGACATTCAAAAATGCAAGTGACAATTACAAAAAAAAACATCTAAGAAAGGAAAAGTAAGACAAAACATAAGAACATACAAGTGAAGGGCAACCACTCAACCTTTCCACCATTCAATTAAGAGAATGCTTACTTACTAATGCTGAATTGCTTTCACTAAATTTGCACCAAATTTTCACTTACTCAGCAATAATGACTATTCTGGTGTTCTGAATTGGCTACATATACTCTGAACACACTCTCACCTCCATTTCCTTCCCAGGAGAAAGCTGACTTTGGTTTCCAATGCCCACCGAATTATGAGACATCTTCACAGGACACTTGACATCTTTCTCATAAACATCTTTGTACTGGTTAACAAACCTGCAATGAATGTGAATGATTATATACAGCAGGAACATAAAACATGTCTTCATTACATCCAAATTAGATTACTACAATGATCTACTGTTGGATAGTCCAAATAGTGCCCAGTTTGTACTTCCAGAGCCATTGCTAGGATCCTAACTAAAAAATATGACCATATAATCACAGTATTGCCATCTTTACACTGACTCCAAGTAGTATATACAATTTTAAAGGTTTCCTAATTTCCTACTATATAAAGCTCTATAAGTTCTATCCCCCTTGAGTGAACATATAATCACTTAGAAACCTTGGATATACTCTCCAAGTCTCAGGAGCTTAAACTCCACAAAATTCTTAAAACAAACACAGAAGTTACAGTACTCACCTAAAGAGTAACTGAGAAAGAATCTACCATTGCATTTAAAGGCAGCCCCATCACTCTCAGCCTTTATATCAAAGCTAAACTTTTAGTCTTTACTATTCTTGTGTAGTCACATTTTTAACATAACTGATACATTCGGTGGATATGTGATGACAAAGTTGCATGTCTTCTTATTGATCACAATATATCTTCTATTACTCATATTAACACAGCGATCTGCCCCCTATACCTCAGTTCCTTCTTCAACTAATGGCACTGAGCAACCACTCTGACAGATGTGAAACTCTGGATGCAGAATGATGGACCCATTCGATTGTGGTGGTTTACTGGTCACAGCCTAGGACCTCCTCTACAACTAAGATATGTCAACTTTAAAACAGTCGGCAGACGTCCATCGTTGTACTAAATTAAATCATTCCAAGCAAGCTGCCACCAATTCTCATAATGTACTTATACTTGTGAACTCAGTCTTTGGCAATGCATCTCTAAGGACACTATACTAAATAAAAACACACTCAACAAATTCATTTAAAATAATCTTACCTTTCAGCATCTGTTCTTGAGCCAATTAGGAACCTAAGAAGGAAAGAAAAACATGTAAAACAGTTCCAAGTACTGAAAAATAACCTTTGGTTTGATAGATTTTCATTTTACTGTCTGTTGTGAATAAAAAAATACACCCAGTAATTCTTCTCTGGCATCATTTAAATTATAAACTTCACTTCTTTCTTTAAACAGCCTTAGGTTCTGCGTATAACTTGCATCCTTCTAATTTTTTTTTATTTCAGTACTTTACAAATCTCATCCAAAACGTCCATGAGACATATGGATTATTAAAAATAAATGCAGTATTTCAGGCTTCAGGCACAAGCAGGTAAATGGTATTTTATGGCAGTTCAATTACAAAATCCCTCCAAGTAGAGTCAGTACATTCTGAAGGTGATGGCCTAGTGTCATGAAACCACACTTCTAAAGTCAAAATATATAGCCAAAGAACAATATATATATATGTATATAGTCAAAGTACAAAGTTAAAAAAAGGTACCAAGTCGGGGAAGGTCAAAGATGTAAAGGTGTCTGTCATCTATTAAGAGTCTGTCTCATTAAATCAATGCAAGCAGAGTTGGTCTTTTTGATAAAAAGCTGACTGACCCTGTAAGGTGTCCAACCTAAAGATATTCTCACGCACGTGTGCACTCGCACACCCTCACACACTTACGGAGGATGACTAAGATGCAGACCACTCCCTTCGTCCTCACTCCTGGAATCCTTGGCTGTTTGAATCTTTCCATATATGAGAGGGTCACCCACAGACTGATAGATAGTGAGTTTTGTCTTCTCAACCTGATTGCTCACTTCACATTCAAAAATGTAATCATCCTTAAGTTCCTGCAAAAAGAAACCACTGCATGAAATCTTTATGTCAAAATATGAAGCCTTCACATATGAATTTATATATATATAGTAGACAGCATACACTTTGTGCTCTGCGATAATTAAGTCAATAATAATACTTATGTACTGCATAGTAATACTTACATGTGCTGGCCAGACAGTAGGCTGAGAGTCCTCAAGCTTGATTGATTTCTCCACAACTGCGTATTTCTCCACCTAAAACAAAAAAAAAATCACATACTGGTCCACACTATTGTCCATGAATTCCTCCAGTTTCCTAAAGACATTTTTTTATTAATAATAATATTTAAAATGTACATCATTCTGCCTGACAAGAAAAGAAAATGCAGGAATAGTTAACAGGAGGCCGATATTAGGTATCCAAAAGTATTCGCTTATTTTTTGCTTAATTACACCTTTAATCATTTAGTGACATTTTAATATTCAGCACACGGTACAGAAGCAGTTTCTTCTGCCAAAAACGCACTTAATTTAGTCACTGAGTAAGGGATTTTCCACTTATCCTGCACCTCATAAATTTTGTGAAAGTGCCTTTATCTTGATATAGCCATTTAAGGTCACAGTGGGAGCACTGAAAAGGGGTCCAAGGGTTCACACACGAAGAAAGTATAGAAGAATTTTGGTGCCTTGATTGTTCATTGCTAATATAGAAAGACAATCGTGGATGTATGAAGTAAATACCTGACTTAATCCTGACTGAGTAGGTAGACTAGAGCATGGAGGAACTGATAGGACCATCATTTGCAGTCCACCAATTCCTATCAATAAGACTAAAAAACGAAAGCGCTAACAATGAGAGGATAACTGTTGTATAGGCTATACAGGAAATCAGAACCTTAAGGTATTATGAGTAATCCCTAATGACTCGTTATCATTGATTATCCACACAGAACAAACTGTGATTACAGGCAGGCTGAACTACTAGCTTCCATATGAAAATATAATGAGTGGACAGCCTTACATTTGGCACTTTAACTTCATTTTCATCTTCACACCTTCTCCAGCTGAGTTGTCATTCATTTTGTCTTTATGACAGAACTATGGAAGTTTCTCTGCTTCCTTATCGATCCCTATCCTTATTGTTCATATGTACATTTTGTCTGTAACGTCAGCCTACGTGAAGGGAAAAGTGAAGTCTATCCCAATTAAAACTGTTACTTTTTTTAGCATCCACGCAGAAGCGGGGACTGCCAATGTTGGGGGCAAATCATTTTCAATCTCCCGCTGTCGACGGACCTGAACAATTTGTAGAGAAAGTTTGAACTGTCCAGCTTTGTATCCAAGGTCAGTTTCAATTCGGGAGGATTAATGCTTTTCTGCCCAATACTTGCAGTTGTTAACACTGATGTATCCTGCTGTGTCAGGAGTCTCAAACCTGGTCATGGCGATTCCCAATCCCACTGGTTTTAAAAACCATTGATTCCGGGAATACTGGTTTGAGAATACTGGTCAGTTTTTCGTCAAGCAAACACGTCATTTGATCAAATTAAAGTGTACGGCTCCTGAGGGATAAAGGGTCATTTTGGTTACCAATGATCTTGAAATGACTTAATTTAACAAATCACTTACTTCATTGATCTCAATTGATCTTTAGTACTTGTTAATATAATAATGATCTAACTTCTAGGTCTGGGGGTTCTCTTTATGTTTAAATGAACTTACCTTAAATGTAATAAAATTAAATCAACCTTGTAAGAGGTTAAAGAACAGCCAGGAGCACGGAATTTAAAACTAACAAGACTAGACCAAAATCGGAGGACTTACGTCAACATCAGATGGAGCACTCAGCTGGAAGTTGCTCTGTTTCCACATGTCAACACACTGCCAGAGGGAAGACAGGAAAATACACATAAACCCAGGATTACTTAACACGAAACGGCAATATTGTTCTGGGCTGGGAATGTGTCATTTTGAAACTGCTTACGTTTCCAGCTTTGGAGATTTTCAGGTCAATAGGGGGCGCTGGTTTCCTTTCCTTTCTTTTTTGCAAATAATCCAACAGTCTCAGCTGTGGGGGTGTGGGGAAATGGGCCATTTCTTGCTGTCTGTTTAGAGCTGGCCTAGAATATCTCTTAAAACACCTGAAAAAATAAAAAAAAGTAGCTAAATCAGATGTGGTGGTCAAATGTCAGGGGAAGCTTATATTAAGAAGATAGAAACACAGTATTGACAAACACCCGGTCAGATACTTAACATTAATCATCAATTAACAATCAACTAAACTACGTTACTGAAGAAACACATTAGTAACATTACCCTCATTCACTGCTGAAGCACGTACACTGCAAAAAACAAGGCTGCACTATGAGAGATATTGGATACACTAAACTGTACAGACACTACAACCACTCTCAAAGAATAGCACAAAATTATACAAATTTTCAGTATGGTAGAAAATGAGTATAATAAATAGCATTTGCAGTACTGGCAATTGCTAGACATATAGCTCAGAAATAAAACCTCTTCATCTCCGCTGTCTTCATTACAGTTGGAATCATTTCAGACAGCATCATAACCAATAACGTTTCTCCTCTCACCGTTTCATCGAGCGGGTGTTCATCTTCTGCTTGTTGTACAGCAGCCGGTTCACTGTACATGTCACTGAGATGGAGGGATCCAAGCACAGGGGCTCTGCAGTGGCCAAAATCAGATGGCTTTCCAATAGGAGCTTGTCATCCTGCAAACAGAGAGCATTGTCAGTCTAGCTTCTGTGCTTTGATAACTATGCTAACTCACAGATGAGTCTGAGTATCAGCACAAAACGAGCAAGACTTCAAAGGATAAAGTCATGCTGTCTACCCAATCAACAGTACAATAATTTTAAATTACCTAGAGGTATTCAGAATAATCCTAAATACAGCCATTTTTATGCTAGTCAATTCTAACATTTTCCCTACTTGAAGTACTATATGGTATGTGTATATTATCAGAGATTTCCATATACTGCAGTCTACTAACCCTTTAATTTTTGGTGATATTATCCTTGAGACTTGTCTGTGACCAACCTGTGATTTGTGACCATAAACTGCAGTAGCCAAGATCTTATAGGAGGAATGCTATATATGGGCAACTTCATCTGTCCATTACGTGCATGGAATAAGAGATATCAGGTACTTCAAGCTGTTTCATGTATAAAAAGAGTTATAGACTTTACATACTGACTGGCATGTGAGTGTGGGCTGGGCAAATTTATACTGTGCATCTTCGTTCAAAACTTTTTCTCACCTGTGTCCATTTGTGGTTATCACTTGTCATGGCGTGGACATCGCAAATCAGTGTCTGAGAAGATAACACAGTCAGATCTTGATTTTTTAAATGTAAATAGTAAATATCTTATGAGAGAGAATATACCTAATAATCATAAGATGGTAGATACAATATTCCACAGTTCAATGTATTACTGTGGTTATACAGAGGGGTTACATTGTTGCTGGGAGTGAAATTGTCTAAATAAAATTCACAAAAGTCATGTCTGGAATGTGCTATGGGCATGTTTTAATGGCAGTAATGGGCAGGGGATAAAAACTGACAAAAAGGATTAATGACCAATATTGATAAGGAGTTGCCTCTCTAATCATTCGTTTCTTTTTTTATGATGAAAGAATTTACAAATATAATATATACAGTACAAAGTAAAATATTTTTCAACTTTCACCTTTCATTTATTATTGTATTATTTTTTAAATATAATTATTTACATTATGCTAGCATGGATGGGATGGTATATGTAGAAATGTAATCAGCAAAAACACAACAAATAACCAACAATCTACACAAAACACGGTTTCATCCTCTTTCACAGAACAAACCCAATCCAGGCTTGCCAGTATTTGCTTAGCAACCTTTCTGCTTGTAACCTAAGAGAAAAGGTGATCTTTTACATTATATAAATCTCCTTCACAACATTGATCCACTGTGCCGGTACTAGGGATCTTCAATAAACCATTTTCTCGTGATAGTTTTCTTACTAAAATTCCTAGCATATATCTGTCCTTTAATTCCAAGAATAAAAAAGAAAATTACCCAAAAACTTTACAGAGAATTCAAATGGTATGTCTAGGTTTACGATATTAGTAAGTGCAAAATGTATGAATTTTCAATATTGTTGTATTTCCGGGCTTGACCAGAATATGTGTGAATGAGTTGCTACTTGTTCTCCACATAACCTCCAACATTGTGAACTGCTTCCTTTTTGTTTTGCTCAAGTTTTAGGACTGATAAAAAACGAGTAATTTTTCCAACAGAAATTTCTCCAAACTTGTGAACTGATGGAACTTTGTTAAAATCTACATATGGTCTTCCACTGTTCTGCAGAAATTGTTTTATCATTTTTAGTCACTTTATTTTAATATATTTTGATGAATCTTTTTTCATATCTTCAATGTTATCATACAATTTTGATATTATTTATTTCTGGTTGCTTTAATGGTACGATCAAGCAATTTATTACCTCACTCTGTATTTGGTTGTTTTACTTAACTATTTACATAGTGCCTAATTTGGAGGTATACGTAGGAGTCTTCTTTTCTAGATTATACTGTTGTGTTATGTTGTTGTGATGAATTTTCTAAGTTTTTTCAGGTGATTCTGTTTCATCAATGTACATATTGCTGTGATCTCTCTCATAGTCCAGATTTTAGAACTAGTATCAGTTTCCAGAAAGGAAATCTGAATCATAAGAAATCCACCTTAATATTTTAATGTCCATCTTGAAGTTATAGGTTATTATTATTTTAATCCAAATTGAATTGGTACTATTACCCAGGGTACAGCTGTTATATATATATAGCTTCTGCCAGTGATCTATCACCCAAAACTAATCATTCATTTCTAAACCTCATTTAATGCTGAATACTAAAGTTACTGCATTAACTACACAAGCCACATCCAATGCACTGCATACACAACAATAACAGATATAGACCACAGGTGTGGACAAGAATCTTGTAATGTGACTGCACAGAAGTCACACTTTTAAAAAGATCATGGATAAAGGTTTTAGAATCATGGATAAAGTCTTCATACAACAGCCTGTGATAATCACTAAACTGAGTTGGAGTATTTTCCATTTAACGATAAATCATCTCCTGAAAAGAAATATTAATTACCTGCATTGTTGGCCGTAGCAAAATATGTCGGCTTTGATAGATTGGCATTTTTGTGTAGCCAGACTGCCGATAATCCCTGATCTCAGCAATGACGCACCCACAGTGGAATATATTAACCTGTTCAAGAATAAAAACTGTGAGCAAAAGATCATGTTACGTGTACAGTCACATAAATATGATGTTACTGACATCATGATGTTTGATAAATCGACCATTGCCAAATTAAATGCATTTTTTAGATAGATACAACATCAAAATCATGGTCTTTGTTAATTAAAACATTTAAAGTAAAAAAATATATTAACATATGATAAAACTCCAAAGCAACCAACTACAACCGCAGAATAAATGTGGCTCAGCTATCAAAACACAGGGGGTGCCTACCTGTGACTTCTCCAAGAGGTCAACAAGAATTGGGGGCAGCTCCTCTGCATCAAGATACTCCAGTAGTTCCCCTTCTTCATAAGGTAACCTGATGGTTTCTGAATCTGAAACACAAGGGTCCTTTATTCAGTAATTCCTGACAATCAGGCTCTTGGATTTCACATATCAGCATATCACAGGCATCACATGAATACTTAGTTCCAACTGCAAAAATAACAGACTGATTAACACCTAATCTTCTTCCTGTAACCCACAAGGCTGTTGATTAGAGCATGCATTCGTTCTTTCTAAAAGACTCCATAGCATAGCCTCCAGTTCAAAAATTTAAATTTCTATACCAGTTAGGGAAGGAAGTCCACCTGAAAGTGTGAGTGCACACTGTACATTTTGTGAAAACAGCTTGTACTGAGGTTAGTTCCTTATGGCCTGAATTCTAGTAAACAGTCAGTTTTGCTTTGTTACAGTAAATGCCACATATTAGTTTAACGATGACAAAACCATATGTGAAGCAGGTTTTCAAAGACATACAACAGATTTCTCTTGCTACATAAACCAATACTTCAAGCAAGATCTAGCAAGCTACTGCATAGAAAGCTATATCTTATAACATCAAATTTTAAACTGAATTGAAGAGAAGAGGTAAAGAGGACCAAGGAACACTGACTTGAAACTGTTCTTCTAGCAGTAATGAAAATATCCTTACTCTTAGTGGAGTAATCCAGTATACAAAAAAATTCTAACTGCATTGAAACAAAACCTCACTTGAAACATTCAAAGGAAAGGCCACTCACAATTCCTAAAAAAATAAGAAACTTAGAAATGATGACTGTCTTGCATGTTTTCTAAGTGGATAGAGAGAAATATAGTTTACCAGAACCATTTTTTCCCCTGAGCATCAATGAATAGCCATCGTTTCCAGGATACAGATTGACAACAAGACAGGACAGAGACTCTTGCATCACCAGCTTTTCCAGTAGATTGACATTTCTCCTCAGCTTCTGCAAAACACAAATACAAATACACCTGTAGAATTAAAAGAAATCTGGAAGACAACTGTCTGTATCGGATGTCATTCTTAACAGAAAATCCAAGGTGCAAACTGTTTCTGCTGCTGAAGCTTTTGATATTGATCATCAAATATTTACATAAAAGTTACATTTTAAATCTAATATACATTAAAATAAATGCTCTTTTTACAAGACGCTCAGATTTACAAGAATGCTCCGACTAAATTCTAAAATCTGAATATTACCCCATTTGTGCCCTTGAAAATCTGGAATTCTGCACTTGCTATCAAGTAATTTGGGCGGTGTACTTCTCCTTTTGCCCTATTTACAAACAGGCATGGAATGTCCCACTAACTTACCCAGACAAGCTACAATCCTTTTTAAAGAGTGAAATATAATATGAGCCTTTAGTAGGGTGCAACTAGCAAAACACACAGCTCTTGGCTCTAATTGCTGTCAAAAGGAAATCACTAAATGCTTTTGCCATTTTACTCCAGTATTTAGTTCACTATGGCTATTGACTAAAACAAGGGTTCCTTCAAGTGAAAGTAATGTTTTTCTTTGAGTCATTTTCACAGTAAGGGACTACTATTTTACTAATACAGTGCCAAACCGACTAAATGAAATCAGAAAAGAAAATAAACAGCTCCGTATGGAGTTGTCAAATATATTCCAACATGGCCAGTGCATTTTTGTTGAAAGACATTTTTTGTTCAGGATTTCATCTCAGTTATTAACACTTCTCTTACCTTAATTTCTGGCTCTTTTTCACACTCCTCCATGTACAGGTCGTACAGCTTCTGATACAAAGACTTCCTGCGGCAAAATGAAATGCAGTAGGATTTAGGCTCTAACATTTTAAACGTGCACATAGGAACTCTAAGTTGGAATCACACCTCACCTTCCACTTGAGGAGCTTCTCCTTTTGATTGGACGCTGTTGTGCACTTTCCACAATGTACTGCAAAGAAGCACAAATATTTAAAGTAGCGCATGTCACCTGGACTTTCCACTGCTGCTTACAAAATCATGCTGTTGTGTTCTGTTTTAGGGCTAGACTGTTTTCCCACACACAGTGCTAAATGGGATGAAAAGTCATAATGAAAAACTTTTCATAATGAAAAGTCTATAGGGGTGTGAGCTAGAATTAATACAATGCCTCTTAGATGATCCTCAGCAGAAGGTTTATTTATGCAAACAGGCACTTGTCATTTACCACAATTTGGTTTAAAGACTTGTGAAGATGAGCAACACTAGCAATGTTTCTTTACCCATGTTTGCACTGGTTAACACTTAAATTACTTTCTCCTGTTGTTTCAGTTTGGTCTGCCAGAAGTACCCTATTTGTGTTATCACTTAAGTTATTTCTTAAAACCACTGTCTTAAACATGCACACAGGAAAATTATATGACTCTAGAAAAGCTAGTATTCTCCAACATCATCCTAAACTTACTCTCATCACATAATCCGTACAGATTATCATTCAGAGATTTTTTTAACCAATTTTTAGATTCCAAATTCTTACCTCTGCCCTGTCCAATGCATATTCCAAAACTTGTTGCTGAAAAAAAGTTGGGTATTCAAAAAATACAATCTTAGTAGGTTCTAAATTGTTACAGAGCATTCATCACTATGAAATGGTTTGTTCCTTTATTTTATTTAATTTGTTTTGATAAATATCAGACCTCTAGGACTGAATGTTTCATGTTGAAAACAAGCTTCTCCAAAGAAATTAATCCATTACATTCAGAATGGTGAGCACACTGAAAAATGGAGGTATAAAATTTATATAAGATGCAAAAATGTTGCATATTAACTTAAATAATTCCTTTTAACACTTTGTGGTACACTTCATATGATCATCAGCGACAAAAAGTTATTAAGGACAGATGAAAAAACATAAACATCTTTAGATTGAATACAATAAAAAAAGATTAAAGTCTCTCACCATTGTGGCTTCAAAAGAGAATGTGTCTGAATAACAGAAGAGGTGACTAACATGAGTCCAGCTAGTTTATCCCCTTGGGTCTCTTCTTCAACCCCTGTAAAATCAAATAGCGATGATTAATATTCATTACATTCATGCAAATGTACCTTTACTGGTAAACACTGCACAGCATAGAGGCAAATTCTGAAATTACAATAAAATACTAATGACATTTTCATTTCTGACTCCTGTTAAATAAACTACAACCTTACTGAACTGAACTAACCCAGTTGAAATCCTGTTAAAACAGCATCAGTAAACAGAAACGGGGGCAGTGATACTGAAAAGCTTGTTAAAATGTTTTACTACAAAGAATGAGGTAAAGCACAGGGTCCTACAAAATCAGTTTTGCATTGATGTTGTGCTCACACTACTTGAGATATAGCTTTGTCGCACAAGAGCTATGTTAGTTGCTGTTAATTTAGAATAAACAAAAAATGTAAATCATTTTGTATTTTGATTTAATTATTTTTTTTTACACAGCCACTTCAGAAATTAATTCAGTCTATACTTGTAGTAATTGCACCATACCAAAATGACCAAAATAAATGTGAAAATTTTCCATTCTGGGGGCAGCAGTACCAAAAGGTGAATGATAAAATCACAAGAAAAGTATAGTGAAATGTTTCTGCTGTTCTGCCACAGAAATTTAGTGAAAATAACTTTCTTATTTTGTCATGATTTTATTTAGAAATCCAAGATCCTTTTTATGAAACAATGGAGTTGCTTACAGGGAGCATGGGCGACTAGACGTTTCAAAATAATGTACTGATCGGAATTTAATTTTGTTAAAAAGAAGTTAGAAAACAGTAACTGAAAACCTCTGGTCAATTCTCCAGTTTTGCCATTTCTTCACAGTTGATTCATCCAACTGGCTTTAAGTTGATTGATTGTCTTTGACTCCATGTCTGCCAGAGTTGTTGTCTTTCCCAAACTAACAAGTGACACCTCCGTTAGAAGTATTACTTACTCCATGGATCTATGGACCTTGAAGGACTTCCGCAAATACAGTCACCATTGGACACCATTGTGTCTGATCTGCTGTTTTAATCCTCCATCTCCTCACACCCAGCTCTCTTATATCTGCCTCCATATCTTTCAGCCATTTCAATCTCGGCCTCTTTTCCTCCTGGGTGTCGCTCAATAGCTCTTCGGGGGCCTCTACTCTACTCCGTCCTTTGGATGTGCCCAAGCCATTGTAGTTGTCCTGCCTTAATTGTAGCAGCCAGATCTTGGTCCAGGTACAGTCTCCTCAGTTCATTGTTCTTATTCTCCATGTTTCTCTTATCCTTACAGGCCCATATATCTTTCTCAGAACTTTCCTCTCCCAGGTGTTTAGATGGCGTTCGTCAGCTTTAGTTAGGGTCCATGTTTCTGCACCATATGTGACCACAGGTCTAATAAACAGTTTGGTACAGAACCTTCTTGAGTTGGTTATATAATGCCCCATAGCTCTTATTGCCGACTGCCAGTCTGGCGCTCGCCTCCCTGCTGATCTTATTGTCTGCTGTGATAATCGCTCCTAAATACTTAACTCATTCACGGCTCGGAAAGAGTGCTGTCCTACTTTTAGATCGATTGGTTGTCTTGGATCTCGAGAAGTCCTCATGTAGTGGATCTTTTTTTCATTCACCAGTAAACCTAGTCCTTTGGCTCCTGCCTCAAATTTGATAAATGCCTTCCGCAAAGCATTAACGCTTCGTGCTATTAGGGCCACATCATCAGCATAGGCAAGATATTGGGAGAGCCTATATATGAATGATAAAAGTCTATACCATACTCATAACACTTCTCCAATATTATCCGTAATGTAAACACCTGGTCCACTGTAGAGCAGTTGCCTCTGAATCCACATTGGTAATCCCCAATGACCTCTTCAGTCCTTGTCGCCAGTCTCCTGGTGATCCCTGTAACTAAGATCTTTTACACTACTGACAACAGGGATATACCTGTGATGTTTTCGCATTTCAGTTTGCTCCCCTTCTTATGTATTGGACAGATAAGGGCACATCTCCACTCTTCTGGCATCTTTTCTTCCTCACAGATTCTTCTAATCAGTGTGTAGATCCTCCTTGTCATTTCTTTCCTCCAGCACACTTAATTAGTTCCCCCGTAGTTGTATCCTCCCCTGGCATCTTATTATTCTTTGAAGACTTTATGCTCTCGCATAATCCCTTTTCTTCTTCTGACACAATTTCCAATCTTCTCTTCTTCTTTTCCTATATTCCTCCGTTACAAGTATTACATGATTAAAAGACAACTGACAAAAATTGATTAAGCAAATGCACCATTACACAGTGTGAGGGAATAGGCCCCTGTATCATAAATAAGGCTGGACACACACACTGCACTTTGGCAACATGACTTGCCACATGGACCTAGTTCCTACTACCTGACATTGTTTGGATGATTATTGAGTTTTCCCATTAATAAATAATGCACAATATTACAAATTTACTGCCATTCTATATAGCAGATTTAGTTAATATCTTTAATCCAACCTGCTCAGTTTTTTACGCTGGTTTGGAGAGTGGGAATCTTGGTAAGGGATTCTGGGTAAATGTCCTGCACTCCCTATCATGGTTGTTTATAAATTTACCCAAATTTAACCACGCCAATGTCACAGTCCAAGATGAGCTATTCTTCTAGTCTTTTACACATGAAATAATAGATAATTCTAAATTAGCTCTAAGAAGCATCTGCAAACCACCAGATTAACTTTTAAACAAGCTATTAAATGATTTTTTACTTCAGTGATGAAAATGCTAAATGGTCAATGTCAGTTCAGAAATATAAATGTGATTTATACATTTAAAAAAATTCATTCTTGCTTTGATCTACACTTGGAAAAAACGTGAAATTAAGGAATCTATTAATAATATGGTCACACTGACAAAAAAAATCACAGGTGACACATGTCTGAACAAACATTAGCAAGACTTTAATGTGGAACAGGTGCAATTTCTGGCAGAAAAGGAAATTCAGAAAAACAATGAAAACCCATACACTCAAACAAACTGACTCTTGGACTTAGGTCTGTTCGGACACTAAGGTGCTTGGCTTGGCAGAAGCCTGTTGTTCTGGTTTACATTTCTTCATCTTATTTATCAGGTTTTTCAAATCGCATATATTTAAAGAGTAACCAAATATTTGAAGCTTCCAGAAATCACAAAGTTTATAATATCTGCCAAATCAGGTGGGGGAAAAGTACACTACCTACCTATTTTGGCCAACTGAGCTTAACTAAATAATAATTTCACTGCTAAATTACACTGTCATGGCAGTAACCTCTCTGTGGTATTGCAAGCTTAGACTTGCAAGCATAGAATGGCAGTAGAGTAGTATCCTCACAATTACTCACAAACAGTTCTATTTTGGGATACCAAAAAAAAGCAATTCAAATGCTCATGGAAACAAACTCACATGTAATATTTTTAAACTATTGTATGTTGAACTTCTTAGATGCTTTGCTGAACTTTAAGTACTTTTTTAAGATCATAAATATTACAGAAAGGACAAAAGATGCCATTCTGAAAAAAATGCAGTTCTATGATGATCCATGCACTATTTATGACGGTGTAGTTTGGACCTACAGTATAGCTGCACCGCAGGAAGCCTGGATAATACTGTTCTAAGATTCGCGGATATCTGGCATTAGGTAAAACGGAAGATTAGAAGAAGCATTTCCTTCTCATAAATTTACATTTTTACACTGGCCTTTTTGGGAGATCATGTCTATCACTTTAAAAAACATGAAAAAGAATACAACATGTCTCAGACTTCTCACGACTATGTGAATCAAAAGCAGACGCTCCGCCTCCTTCGTGACAAAGAGAAGCCCTATTTTGTTAAAAAAGTCATACCTACAGTAATATATTACCAATTAAATAAAAACAATTACATTCACGAAATACTATATTCAGATAGTCTAAGTTCGTAAGATCATGGTTATTGAACCTTCAAAACTTTCAATAGCACTGAAGGCAAAAAACAATATTTCTAACGTTTAAGTATTTATGGAAATATCAATTATCATAATCGATATATATTGCATAATACATGTGAGATTAATAAAATGTACATGCTGATTCCATATGAAATAGTATCAGAAATCAGCAAAATATAATCTTTACTGTATTTCTGGCCATCTAGCAGGTTTTGCAAAGCAGAGACCACCTTCCCCAACCGAAAGTTATAAGTCAGCAGTCAAATCCAAGATGCAGCCAACGAGTTTCAACGAAAATAGCAATTTACCATGTGTGTGCCATGCCGGACTGAGATGCTCAGCACCATCGGCGACAGACAGTAGATTTACAGTAAACTTGATTCAGTATCTGTGCAAAAAGCTCGAGGCAGCCATTTTCTTTCAGTGCAACAACAAAACTGAGCTTCCGGTATGAGGGTACAAGGGGAGGTCTCTACACTGTAGTCTCTTAGTTTTATTGGTTTATTTTTCGTCATAGCGTCGTGAATGCCTTGACCATTTGCTGACAGAGATCTGTTCACATTAAAATGACCAGGGCATGCTTTTTTCGTTACTCTAGTCCTGCAAAGCACAATATTGGTTTATGTTGTTTTTGCACTTTTGTATTTTCTTGCTACCAGGAAACAGTAGTGCTATTATAATACTTATGCCATATCTTTTTATTATTTAATTCTGAATAACTGATGTCAAAAAATTAATTTATTTTTGTATCAGGAATTAATTTGATAAATTAAATTCCTAAACGATACTAAATGAATTATAGAAACAATTTAAGATTGTGTGAAGAAGGATACTAATTTGCTACCTTGAACTGAATTTTCAATATCGCTAATCCTGGTTTGGATGTTAAAGAGGCTTGCCGTAAATGCATAAATATGCCTTTAATCGTGCTGGTGTCGAAATACATTTCTGGCGTAAATTTCACGAGATCTAACATAGCAGCTTCATTAATCTGTTGCAAAGTCAAACTAGCCCACCGCTTCGTTTTTCATATCGTTCATCATAAAAAATAGTACAATTTATAATAATCAATGTAACAGGTTTCGGCCGAGAACCAATATTATGTAATGGGCAAGTATCAGGTGTTCTGTTTAACTTTCTCTGTTTTTTGTCCCTCATATCCACATAGACTGATGGCTACGACTGTATGCAAGACAACTCATAGGGGTTTAGTATTTTTTGATGATTAGCAAGCATCATGTTGTCTTGGGTTTCACCTTTGTCTGTCTTTTGTCTTTTTTCTGTCCTCCACTTACAGGTCCATGCACAAGGTTGTCAAACTGCGATTGTGATGGAATAAAAAATTCAAGGTTTCCGCCTTTGTCTTAATTAAATGTTGAGGTCTAGGTAAATAGACAGATGTTTAGGACTGTATTATGCAAAACAATAATGGATGTGTCAAGAGTTTCCCATGCTGTTGAAACAATGTGTTTTTTTCTGAACACATTTTAATTCCATTAATCACAGGTCTTTATGTTACCATTGGATTTCAGTACAAAAATCATACTCAAGTTTCATATGGTTTCATGACCTTGCTTGATATGTCCTGACAAGTGGGGGTGTTTATGGTTTATACTACATATTAATTGTTTCTAGTCAAGATAGCATTTAATCTTTATTGAGTGTTCACTCAGGAAATTGATCCCTAGGTAAAATAATAAATTCTCATTTTGTTCATTTAAATTGCAACATAATTTTAGCAGTTAATTTAATAATTTAAATATGTTGATGTTATCAAGGTAACTAGATAAATTAGGGTAGGTTTCTCTATACTCAAGGGTGCCCAAATGCTTCTTATTGCTGCCAGTGTCAAAACTATTGTCAGTAATGTCACATACCATGCCAATTAAATAATTCATTTAAACCTAATTCATTGTTGCATATGTGCTGAAGCTGTGCCTCTAATTTGGCTGCCAATTGTCTTCTGGTTCCTTTCAAAGAAAGAGAAAACTTGGACTGGAGAACTAAATTCAAGAACAGAAGGTTTAGTGACCAAGATACTTTCAGTTTTTCAGTCCCAGGAGTATGTTGTAATGGATTTATGCAAATTCTACTTTTAATGAAGCCACAAAGCAGGAAAGCTGTCACGAGAAAAGAATTTATTTTATTGTTTCTGAATGCAATTCAAAATCCAATCTTCCTGTAGTCAGCCTAAGAAAAAAGCAGTTTTTATAAGGAAGCAGAATGGTTTACACGAATCCCAAAGAGATTGTTTGTATGGCTGTATCAGCTCAAAACATTCAACGTGCAACCAAGTACCAATGTGATAAGCCTTCTGCATATTCCAAATGCAATAATTCAGATTGTGTGTATAATATTTGCAATATCCCTTATGGTTCTATTTTTCCAATTTTTTCTTAATTAGTGTTCATTAATCAATATAATTAAATGTGTCGTTTGCAAAGATTCTTTTGGTTCTCCATTAATTTTCCATCGTCACTGCATTATGAAAAAGATACAACAAGCCTTAATGGTGCAAAACAGCCCAACATTTATTCTGATATAGCTTCCATTCTGCTGATGTTAGAACGTTTTGACCTTCTCCAGAGATCTTGTCTGCTCTGCAACAATAACCAACAGAGACACGCCACCTAATTAATACAGAAGAACCTAAGATAAGCTAATCAGTTTACAGACAAAACTAAGTAGTGGAAGAAAGAAACGATCAATAGAATACAATCAATAAAATGTAAATAATAGGACACAGCTGAAAACAGCTTAAAATATGAAGGAGGACAGGGGTAATATTCACACTGGAGGGCAGCAAGAAGTCACAGCACACTTTAGCGAAGGTTTGAAAGAAATTTTAATTTTGTTTGAAAAAGGCCAAAGAACATACACGAACACACTCAAGTGTTTTAAATAAAGATCTCCATAAATAGTACAATGTTGATTTTTGAAAATGGTTATACCTGTCTTTCAGTTCTGCTGAAATGTCACATACAACACGTCTGTCCCTCTGCTTCAGTGTGCAAGGTGTAAATTTAGAATGAGCACATTCATGTACGTAAATTCTACAATACCATAGAAAATGTCTCCATTTGTGTAAAATATTACTTTTAATGGAGGGTAAAGAAAAATCTAACCAGTAAGCACTGATTGAAATCAGAATTTAAAATGTCTGGTCAAGAAAACATGAGCCAATGATTTAATTTGCTAACAATGGAAATTCTCCTTCTTATATCTCTAGTTATAGAAAGAATTTCCCTCAACTGAATATACTATGAAGTGGATTATAGGATTATATTACTATGGTTGTATATTATTGTGTGTTGATCCGAACAGGAACAAATTAGTCCATGGAAATCCTTATTTTAGGAGATAAATTACAATGAAATGTAGTGAATATCATAAACATATTTAATGGATAAGGCAATTATAAAGTGTTGAGATGTTGATAGGTTTTTGGAGTATTTGTACTTTCTTATAGTGTGATACACTAAGACATATTTCCCTTTGACGTACTACCCAGAATCTGAAAGGAATGACAACACTTGAGCTCAGTGTGAAGTCCTAATGTCCCTTTCTATCAAGTACCAATGTCATCATCATCATTATTATTATTGTTGTTGTTGCTGATGATAATGAAAACAGTGGCTATCAGAAGCATTCACCTTGGACGTCATGTTTTATTGTGTCAGAATATGGAATCTTCATCTAATTTAATATTAATATTTGATTCATGATTTTAATAGACTTTAGCTTCTCAGGCCTAAAGGAAATAGAGAAGGTCTTGTTCAGCACAGATGGTGACACACAGGTTGTGTAAAAAGGTGTTTCACATTCAGAATTCCATGTTCTCTGCATTATTGCCAGAAGAGGGCACTGTGGAGGTTATAATCACTTATCTAAATACTTCTTGATTTTAGGAACTGATTTAGAAGCCTCCTCTAACTGTAAGGTATATAAGGTAATACTTAATATAAAGTATTTGGGGTTTTGTTAGGTCAAATAACATGGAAATACAGGGTTAGTTAAAATATAAGTTATACAGGGTTAGTTGTCAAGAAGTATAAATGCAAATTATTTTACTAAAGATTTGTTTTCTCCTCCACAGATGGTGAAGGATTGGAAGATGATTGTTAGAAACTTTGATATTTATGCTTTCGTTTTAAACCTTTTTTTGTCACAGTAACCCATGTAATTAATTTGTAATAAACTGTCAAAGTTGTCGACAGCATTTTGACTAACTCTGTATACTGAGAACTTATCTTTCCCTGAACAAAATATTTCTGTACTCCCCCCAAGAGCTATAATCTGTCAACAACTGTTTTCATCAACTGTTCTGACATATTGCTATCTTATAAAAGAATGTCACCGTAGACATTATCATCAACTAAAAAGGGGGAAAAATAATATTTTTTTGTAGGATGGAGTTGTGCTTGCAATACAGCTTTCTGTTTTTTTCTCCATAAACTAACACTTGACAAGGAACAGGTTTAATATTTTTATTTATATAATAATAAATGAATACAAATGTGAAATACAGTTCATGTGTAAGATTTTTGGATTTGGATATACTAGAACATCCTAAACACATGAAACGTTTCACAAATAAAAAAAATATTACTAAATTTAGGACAGAAATTAATGCCAGACACGATAGTTTTGTAATATTGTTATACTATCACAAGCATAATTTCATAAGCTATTATTTGTCCTGAACAGAATGTGTGATCCCAGCCCTCACGAAGTATGTGCAGTAAACACAATAAACACTTCAATAGTAAATCCAATTCAAGCAGCTCTGGACACAATTTGGTTCTGACAAACAGGAAAGCTCCTAATTTCTTTGCTGTCTCAAAAGCAAGAATGAGTCAAATGTTCCAGAAATTAGATCTCCCCTTCTCAGTCTTTATCATGTTGTCTTGATGCCAAAATTTGGTCTTTGAAGAAGATGTATTAGTGTACGATCCAGTGGCACCTGCAGTCCTCAGAGCACATTTACTTTGGACCTGGTCTCAGATACATGCCTTAAAGGACATGTATAAAAGAAGGTTCAAGGTGTGCCTGTCAAAGGTGGGGTTGATCTGTAGAAATTTATGGGCTCCATGCTAATACCAAGCAGGTGCGTCTTAAATTATCTCCACTGTGACTTCATCGAGTAGGGCGAACTTCCAATAGACTAGAGGGATTTTCCCAGGAAGCCACATGGACAGCTTTTCCCATTTTATTTCCACCTAATATCTGCCAGAACATTTCCAGATAAACATTATTTGTGTCATATTGCTTTTCAAAATGTTTTTTTTCTATGTAATGCTGGAAAGGTATATTAAGGCAATGGGAAGCATAAATATATTTGATAAATTCTGTGGAAAAAGTGAAAATAAAAACATTACCACCAAACAAATTGTAGGGAAATGAATAAGGTGACCAGTGCAATTCTGTTGTA